CATTGGAGACGTCGTCGGTGTCGTCGCAGTCGCTGTCGGCGGCGCCGTCGTCGTCGATGTCGCTGTCGTCGTCGGCATCGGTGTCGTGGCCAAGTGCCACGCAGTACCTACCGTCACGGTCTTGTCTGAAGATGTCTTGCGACCAAGTTGCGGGTGGGAGGGTGGGATGTTTGCACGAGCAGTGGAGAGGACAGCTTCAAGACAGTCGAAGTGGATTGCACCGCATAGATTGCACCACATATATTGGATGCATTACGCAGGTTGCAAAGGGTAGGTTGCACCACATACATTGCACCCGCCCAGACTGTACCGCGTATATTGCATTACATAGGTTGCATCGCGTAAATTGCACGACATAGATCGCACTGCATAGGCTGCAAGAACCTACTGATTGGGGTCGGTGCTCGCTATCATTTCACGTAATGTAATGTAGCGTAATGTCGAGTAGTGCAATGTAAGGCAGCGTGATGTACTGCAGCGCAATACAGTGTAATATAATGTAAGCCGGTGCTTTTGACTGTAGTGGAATGTACGAATGCAATGTAATTTAATGCCATGTAATGCAATGTCATGCCGTGTAATGTAATGACATCTAGTCTAGTATAGTGTAATCTCATGTAATGTAATGGAATGTAATGACATGTAGTGTAATTGAATGGAAAGCAGCGTATTGCATCGTATTGTATTGTAGTGTATTGCATTGCCTTGCATGCTGTTCCATTGCATTGTATTGTGTGGTATGGTATGTTATGGTATGTGTGTGTGTGTGTGTGCGTGTATGCATGCATTCATGCATGTATGGTGCATGCATTCATGCATGTATGGTAGCATGTATGCATACATGCGTTTATGCATGCATGCCTGTGTGGATGCATGGGCGAATGCACACTTTCACGACTGTATGTACGTATGCATGCAGGTATGTAGGCTTGTTGGTCTGTAGGTTTGTAGGTATGTACGTATGTATTGTGTGGGCGCAGATTTACACACACAGTGCTGAGGTATCGTTCCGTCATATTCCCACCCGCGAGCCGCCGCCGCTGCTGCAACCGCTGCCAGGCACGAAGACCTTCGCCCTGCCTGAGTTTGTCGGTTTGGACGCCGCCGTGGTGGCGCCCGCGAGCAAGTGAGGGGGAGCACGGCTCAGGATGGTACTCGCAGAGCTCCGTGCTACGACGGCTCCGCGCGGGCCGACAGTTTGTGTTCGTGCAGTTTTTTTTCTTCATCGCTTCGCTCACTCCGCCGGCCCGTACTGTGCCATCGCAGACGTTTACCTGGGGCTGTTTGGGGGGCCTCTTGGAGCCTCTTTTTGGACCTCTTGGGGGCCTCGTGGGGTCTCCAGGGGGCCTCCTGGGCTCTCTTGGGAGCCTCTTGGGGCCTCTTGGGGACCTCTCGGGGCGGAAGTCTCGAATCGGTGGTTCGTGTTCCCCCTCTTGGACCCCTCTTGGGGCCGTCTTGGGGCACACTTGGGCGGTCTTGGGCGCCTCTGGGGCCGTTTTGGAGCCGTCTTGGACCGTCTGTGCGCCCTCTTGGAGGCCTCTCGGGCCGTCTTGGGGCGGTCTTGGAGGTCTCTGGGGCCATCTTGGAGCGTCGGAAAGCCGAAATGGCGACAAGGCTGAAAACCTCCAAGAACCTAAGGACAATTAATGATTTTTGTCTCGTGGGGCCCTCTTGGAAGGCCTCTTGGAAGCTTCTTGGTCCGTCTTGGCGGCCTCTTGGGCCGCCTTGAGGCCATCTTGGGCGGCTTGTGGTGATTTTGGGGCATCTCTGGCCCCTCTTGGGGCCGTCTTGGGGCGTTCTTGGGCCCGTGTGGCCGCCTCTTGGGCCGTCTTGGAGCCGTCTTGGGCCATCGTGGGGCCATCTTGGGAGCCTCGTGGGCTGTGTCGGGGCGGTCTTGGAGGCTTCTTGGGTCCTCTTGGAGCGTCCGAAAGTCGAGAAGGCGAGAGGGCTGAAAACCTCCCCAAACCTAAGAAACATCAATGATTTTTGCCTCTTGGGAGGCCTCTTGGAAGCCTCGAGGGGCGTGTTGGGAGCATCGAGGGCCATCGTGAGGCCATCTTGGGCCGCCTTGGGACGCTGTTGGCTTCTGGCCGTCGTGCCTGCCACCTATTTGTCGACTCATTGGTCCGCTCCTGGACGGTTCCAGAGGCCCCCAGGCCCGCGCCCAAGAGACCTGGCATCTCTGCCGGGGACTTGGCGGGAGTTGCCCAGGATACTTTTCACTCTGGGACCCCCAGGGGCCGCCACGCGCGCGCGAACTAGAACATTGTTAACTTGGTACCGAGATCTTAGCACGCCTCTGGCCCGTTGGGCCGGCGAATCCTTCTAGATACGCCCAGTCTCACACGGGTCACTGTGTATAGTCCAAGTCCCGCTGCCTGCGGCAGACCCCACCACCGTGCCAGTGCTTCATCGGGACGCATTCGGGACGATTCTAGCGAGGCCCGACGCAGCCCTCTCGGGCACGTGTAGGAAGCAGCGATGCAAGGTTGCAGGGGGGCTTGAGCTCAACTTCGCATGGTTGTTGCCTTGCATCTGAGAAGCTTCTTGGGGCTGTTATGGATCCTCCTGGTAGCCTGATTGGGGCTTGCTGTGGGTATTTTGGACTGCTTCGGTTGCGATTGTTCAATCGAGCTCTCCCGAAAATCAAGGATAAAAAACGGCATAGACGAATGACTCGACGCGGGGATCCCCATATGGGCATCTAGTTTCCTGGCACTGTCCGCTGCGAGTGTCTGGGTGCGAGAGAGTCTGGGTCTGAGTGGGCTGAGTATGAGAGTCAGAGTGCGGGTGAGCCTGGGTGCGAGCGAGTCTGAGTGAGTGTGAGTGAGTGCTAGTGTGAGTGAGTCTATGCGTATGAGTCTGAGTCTGACTAAGCTTAGTGTAGGTGTATCTGTGCACGAGTGGCCTGAGTATGCGTGCGAGTTGCTCTGAGTATGAATAACCTGAGACGGAGCAGGCGTGAGGACAGAGGAGAGAAGGCGGCAACAACAACAGCTCTCTCCTCATCCTCCTGCATCCTCCTTCGTCCTAAGCCGTCCTTCCTCCTCCTCCTCCTCCTCCTCCTCCTCCTCCTCCTCCTACCTGGCGGCCCTGGCGGCCATCCTTCCACCCCCACCTGCGTCCTCCTCCCTCCTCCCTCCTCCCTCCTCCCTCCTCCTCCCTGGCAGGTGTCCCCCCTCCCTGGCGGCTCCTCCTGGGGGTGCCCTCGCGGCGACCATGCGGTTCTCAAAGGAGCGAGGCATTGGGGCCACCGAACAGGCACGCCGCCTGGGACATCCCCACGCTGGCCGCGGACGGCTCCCCCCCGGGGAGCGCCGAAGCCAGCGCGTCGCTCGAGGCATCCGCGCCATCCTCACCCGAGAAATCCTAGCAGTGGCCGCCAACAGGGAAACGACATGTACCCTGACGGCTCCCCCTGGGGAGTGTTGAAACCAGCGCTTCGCTCGAGGCATCCTCGCCATCCTCACCCGAGAAATCCTAGCAGTGGCCGCTGACAGGGAAACGACGTGTACCGTGACGGCTCCCCCTGGGGAGTGTGGAAACCAGCATCTCGCTCGAAGCATCCTCACCGTCCGCTCCGAAGGCAGAGCACATGCCGGACACCCACACGCGCCATCCGCCGGAGACAGCCCCGCACTCCGAGCGCGAACGGGCCCGTGCGAACGCCTCAGCGGCTCCCCCCTCGAGAGTGCTGAAGTCGGCGCTGCGCTCGAGACATCCTTCGGACTCTCCTCTGCACGCGGGCGGGTCTGGCCGCCCAGACAGGCGAGCCGCTCGAGACATCCTTCTGACTCCGCTCTGAACGCGGGCGGGTCTGGCCGCCCGGACAGGCGAGCCGCTCGAGACATCCGCGCGAGCTGCGCCACTCTGGGGGTGCTGAAGCCAGCGCCTCGCCCGAGGCATCCTCAGCCTCTGCGTCCAACGCAGACAAGCCTGGCCACCCAGGCAGGCACGCCGCTCGAACTTCTTGGCGCTGCGCGCATCCCTGCCAGCCCAGCCAGAAACGATCCGCAGGGGAGTTCGTAAGTCAGGGACGGCTGAAAGCATGGAGTTGCGCGGCCGTCTTCAGAAACACACTAATCACACATGTAGCTTCCCGCATGGAAGTTTGAGACGGAGATCGGTGCACGATACGACGTGGTGCTCTCCCCGTGGTAAACGCCTTTAGCGCAGGAGGCCGTATCCACCCTGGTCCATGAGAACCAAGGATCACACACACAGCTTCCCGCAGCGAGGTTTGAGATGGAAGCCGGTGCAGAATACGCGGGGGTGTTCCCTGTGGTAAGTGTCTCTGGCGCAGGTGACTGTATCTATCAATCGTCGCCCTTGTCGCACAGTTGAGAGTCGCATCCCCATATGCATCTTTGATCTCCGCCCCCGCACGGAAGTTTATCTTAAACTCGCGTGCGGCTGTTGGTGCTGGTGATGGTGGTGGTTGTGGTGGCGGTGGTGGTGATGCTGCTGGTGTTGCTGCTTGTGGTGCTCTGTTGCCCGCTTGGAGCCATATTGGAGCAAGTGGTGCTGCTGGTGCTGGTGATGCCTGGGACCATCTTGGGGGTAGGAGGAGGAGGAGGAGGAGCAGGAGGAGGAGGAGGAGGAGTAGGAGGAGGAGGAGGAACAGAAAAGGAGGAAGGGAAGGAGGAAGGAGGAGGAGGAGGAGGAGGAGGAGGAGGAGGAGGAGGAGGAGGAGGAGGAGGAGGAGGAGCAGGAGGAGGAGGAGGAGGAGCAGGAGGAGGAGGAGGAGGAGGAGGAGGAGCAGGAGGAACGCGGCGCGAGGAGGATGAAGAGGAGCAGGGAGGCGGCAGGAAAGGAGCAAGGAACGGACGATGACAAGGAGGACGAGAAGTTGGGCTTTGGGCATATGTCGTGGTGAGGGGGTCTTCGAAGACTCGTAATGCGTCCTCTTGGGGCCTAACCCCCCCCGGGTGAGTTCGTCGTAGAAGCGGATTTCCTATTCTATGGGGGTCCCTTTGCACATGTGCTCAACCCCCTCCCCACCTCCTTTGAAGCTCTCTTGGGCTCCCTGTGGGGCTGTCTTGGGGCTCTCTTGGGGGTCTCTTGGGGCTCTCTTGCGGCTCTCTTGGGGCTCTTTGGGGGAGTCTTGGGGCCCTCTTGGGGCTCTGTTGGGGGGTCTGGGAGGCCTCTTTGGGCCGTCTTGGACCCCTTCGCTCAAAACGAGGGGAGCTAGTAACTTTATTACATCCCCTCGGAGGTCCAATAAGGGCGTTTTGGGGTCCTCTTGGACCGCTCTTGGGGCGCTCTTGGGCGCTCTTGGGGCCGTCTTGTGGCCTTCTTGGGCCTCTCTTGGGGCCATCTTGACGCCTCAAGCGCCCATCGGAAGCGAAATAACGAAAAGACAAGCACTATTGATTTTCCCTAGGTTTTGAACCCAATTTGGCATCTTGGGGGGGTCCTTGGAGGGCTCGGAGGGCACTTGAAACCGTCTTGGGACCGTCTTGAGGCCTCTTGGATGCGTGCTGGAGGCTATCTTGAACGGTGTCGAGGTATCTTGGGCGTTCTTGGAGGCCATCTTGGGCTAGCTAAAGCCCTCTTGAAGCTATCTTGGGCTATCTTGGACGCTCCAACCCCTCGCGGGGGAGCCCGTCCAGACTCAAGGAGGGGGGGGTGGGGGAGGTACACTTCCCGAGCAGGGAAAGGAATGAGGCTGGAACAGGACGCGCTCTAGACCACCTGCGCCTGGTGGGACCTCTTGGGGACCTCTTGGGCCTCTCTTGGGGCTCTCCGAGGCCGTCTTGGGGCCATCTTGCGGCCTCCGATGCCCATCGAAAGCGAATAGACAAGACCTCGAATCACTTTCTTTTTGTCCTTCGGTTTTGGAACCATGTTGGCCTCTTGGGAAGGTCCTTGGAGGACTCGAAGGGCACTTCACACCGTCTTGAGGCCGCCCTGAGGCCTCCTGGATGTGCGCCGAAGGCTGTTTTGAGCCATCTTGAAGTATCTTAGACCATCTTGGAGGCCATCTTGGGCTCTCTGAGGCCCTCTTGGCGCCATCTTCGGTTATCTTTTGCGCTCCAATGGGTCGCGCTCCTCCCCCCTCCCAGGCCCAGGGGCGGGGGATAGAAAGAGTGGTGAACCGCTCCCCCGAGCAGGGGAATGAGGGATTTTGGCTGAGAGAAGGCACACCACCTTCTTCCAGAGGGCTGATGTGATCCATGTCGGACGATCTACGTTGTGGAATCACATGCTGGACAATCCAGGTGGATGCGATGTATTTGGTGCAACCTAGGGCGCGATCTATGTTGTGTCACCTATGTTCTGCAATGTAGGTCGTGCGCTCTATGCTGTGCACTCTATGTGGTGCGATCTATGTTGTGCAAGCTTTGTGGGGCAATCCATGTGGCGCAAACTATGCCGCGCAATATCGGGTGTGCAATCTATGTAGTGCAATTAATGCGGTGCAAGCTATGCGGTGCAGTTTTAATAATGACTTGACACATCCCATACCCTTGCACACATCTCACCCACCCGCCCGCAACTTGGTTTGCAAAACCCATGCGGCAGCGATTGCGATAACAGCGTGGCGTTGGCTGGTGCATCTCTGCGGCCACGCTAGCCTGCGCATGCCCGCGCGCACAGCGGCCAGCTGGTTTGGCCCGACCGACGCGGCCGCGGTGGCGTTGCCCGCTGGGCACTTCCCAGCGAGCACTTCACTGCGAGTCGGTGAGTTGGGCGGGCGCGGTATCATCGCGACTCCGGCAACGGTCGGCACGATTATGAGAGTAGCGATGGTGGTTACGATGGTGGCGATGACGATGGCGAGGCCAATGACGGCGCCGATGTTGATCACGCGAGCCGGTAACGATGACGGTGTCCCGTGTCGGCAATGAAGGTTCCTGGAGGAGTTCGACATGCGCGCGCGGCCGACGCGCGCGAGGGGCCCGCGTGGTATTCTTTGACACGGGTCGTGCCCACTCAGCACGCGTGCAACGGCGTTCGAATGATTTCGACATGCGGCGCGAGAGACCCGCTTGGCACAGTTTGATGTTGAACAATCTATGGTTTCGCGAGTGCAGGACTTTTTTGACAGTTTATGTTGCAACAACGTGTGTTTTGATTTGTTTTCGGGACACTCGTTATTGCAATCGTTACGAAATCTACGGCTTTTGAAGGATTTTGGCATGCGCGCGCGACGGCGCGCGCGCGCGTGCACATCGTGCCGTTGTTTTGGCAAGGGGTTCTTGCGACAGCACGTGCGCAAAGGCGTTCGAACGATTTCGGCACGCGCGCACGATAGGCCCGCTTTGCAGCATGTGATGTTAATGTTGAATAATTTTTGTTTTTTCCAAGAACTCGCAAGAGCGCGGGCGCAGGTTTTGCTTGAAAGCCTTTATTGCGAAACCATGTGTTTAATCTGTTTTCGAGACAGCCGCTATTGGAATCCTTACGAAAACTGTTTGTCGTGAAGGATTTCGGCATGCGCGCGTGACGACGCGCGTGTGTACACTTCGTCCCGTTTTTTTTGGTTTCCCCCTAGGA